CTATTGTTAAACTAAACCACTTAAAATATGTATTTAACTTAGTAATTTATATTTTTATTGATTTGTAGGTTTTTGATCAAGAACTTGATGCATTAGAAATTGAAACTGTTCAAAAAGAAACTATTCACCCTCGTAAATCTTACAAAATGAATTCGTCTTGTGCTGATATCTTACTTTTTGCTGCTTATAAATGGAATGTGTCCAGACCCTCGCTTTTGGCTGACTCAAAGTAATTATAACAAAATAAATATTTTTTTTTTATTGATATTGTTTAAATCTTTATAACTTATTTTAGGGATACAATGGATAACACTACTACACAAAAATATTGGTTAGATGTCCAACTTAGATGGGGTGACTATGATTCACATGATGTTGAACGTTATGCGAGAGCCAAATTTCTGGATTATACTACTGATAATATGTCTATTTATCCATCTCCTACTGGTGTACTCATCGCAATAGATTTGGCATACAACTTGCACAGGTAATTATATCTAATATATTTTGACAATATTAATTTTTTAATTTATTATATTACTAATAATAATGATTAATTTTATTAAATAAAATATTTAATATATTATATTTATATAAATTTAATTGTTTTAGTGCTTATGGTAATTGGTTCCCTGGTTGCAAGCCTTTAATTCAACAAGCTATGGCTAAAATTATGAAAGCAAATCCTGCTCTATATGTCTTGAGAGAACGTATTCGAAAAGCTCTACAACTGTATTCTTCTGAACCTACAGAACCATACTTATCAAGTCAAAATTATGGTGAACTGTTTTCCAATCAAATTATTTGGTAATTCATATTCATAATTTATCAATTAATTTTAATATATAAATACAGTAAAACTTCAATCAACCATTATCGCCTTAATTGCAACAATGACAGTTAATAAAAATGTTGCAATAAACGTATATGTGTATTATAATTATTACAAAAGTATGCTAAAATGAACTTATGTTTAAATACACACATAAATAATAACTATGATAAATATCTATCATCTTCTGTTTCTTCGAGGCTTGCTTTTTTTGAACAGCAAGTTCTATGTTTTACGGAAAAGATATTATTTAGTTACTGCAATGAGATAACTGCGCTCTCCAAAATTCAATTTTTTTACTACAATAGATGATAAAGACTGATGGTTAATTAAAGTTATACTGTATTATACATATGTTTAATAGCAACAATATGAATGAATAATATTTCCATGAAAATTTTTAATTATTTTATTTCATCTATTATATATTATGTTATTTGATTCAAGGTTTGTTGATGATACAAATGTCTATAGAGTAACAATTCATAAAACTTTTGAAGGAAATTTAACAACAAAGCCCATTAATGGAGCAATTTTCATATTTAATCCACGTACTGGACAACTGTTTTTGAAAATAATTCATACGTCAGTATGGGCTGGTCAAAAACGTTTAGGACAAGTAAATATTATTTTATTAATTTTTAATACTGTTAATTGTTTATTTAGTCTTTATATTTAAATTGTATGTCTTCAGTTAGCAAAATGGAAAACAGCTGAAGAAGTAGCAGCTTTGATTCGTTCATTACCAGTTGAAGAACAACCTAAACAAATTATTGTTACACGTAAAGGAATGTTGGATCCTCTTGAGGTAAATTTTTTTGTTAGTCAATATAACACATTCTTATTAAAAATTATTTTTCTTAGGTGCATCTTTTGGATTTCCCAAATATTGTAATCAAAGGATCAGAGTTACAACTTCCATTCCAAGCATGTTTAAAGGTAGAGAAGTTTGGTGATCTTATACTGAAAGCGACTGAACCTCAGATGGTTCTTTTCAATTTGTATGATGATTGGCTTAAAACTATATCTTCCTATACGGTATAAATAGATTATCCCACGTGTTTGATATTTCAATTAAAATAGTAATTGTATTATTTTTTTTTAGGCATTTTCTCGTTTAATATTAATATTAAGAGCTTTACACGTCAATACTGAACGTACCAAAGTTATATTAAAACCAGACAAAACAACTATAACTGAGCCACATCACATTTGGCCTACCCTTAGTGATGATGAATGGATTAAGGTTGAAGTGCAACTAAAAGATTTAATTTTAGCTGATTATGGAAAAAAAAATAAGTATGTAATATTCAAGATTAGATTAATAATTTTTAGCATACAGTTATTTAAATAATTATTATTTTATCATAATGTGAATGTTGCATCTTTAACACAATCAGAAATTCGTGATATTATTTTGGGAATGGAGATTAGTGCACCATCAGCACAAAGGCAGCAAATTGCTGAGATTGAAAAACAAACTAAAGAACAATCACAATTAACAGCAACAACAACTAGAACAGTGAATAAACATGGAGATGATATTATAACTTCTACTACATCTAATTATGAAACCCAAACCTTCAGGTATAATTCTTAGTTTAAACATAATTTATAAATTTTAAAAATTACAAATATGCTATTTTATTTTTAGCTCTAAGACTGAATGGAGAGTTCGTGCAATTTCTGCAACTAATCTTCATTTACGTACAAACCATATATATGTATCATCTGATGACATTAAAGAAACTGGTTACACGTATATATTACCTAAAAACATACTTAAAAAGTTTGTCACAATTTCTGATCTTCGTGCTCAGGTACATTAAATTATTTTAGAAATATTTACTGTATTTAATAAGATTTTAATTAACATTATTTTAACTGTCTTAGATTTGTGCATACTTATATGGTGTGAGTCCTCCTGATAACCCTCAAGTAAAAGAAATCCGTTGTTTAGTGATGCCTCCACAGTGGGGAACGCATCAAACTATACATGTACCATCACAATTACCCAATAACCATCACTATCTCAACGACATGGAACCACTTGGTTGGATACACACACAGCCTAATGAACTGCCTCAACTATCACCACAAGTAACTTCACATAAAAAAAGTATTTTTTAATTCATTAATTACATATTTTATATTATAGGATATAAGTACCCATGCCAAAATTATGTCTGACAATTCAGCTTGGGACGGAGAAAAAACTGTTATAATAACTTGCAGTTTTACTCCAGGTTCATGCTCATTGACAGCTTATAAATTGACTCCAAGGTAAAAATAATTATTAAATGCTTAAATTTTTCAAATTTTGAACTAATTTATTTTAAATGTAGTGGTTTTGAATGGGGACGACAAAACACTGACAAAGGTAATAATCCTAAAGGCTACTTGCCTAGCCATTATGAAAAAGTACAAATGCTGTTGTCAGACAGATTCCTTGGTTTCTTCATGGTACCAGCTCAAGGATCATGGAACTATAATTTTATGGGTAAATATAAATACTACTGTTTATAAATAACTATACTTACACATTCATTTTACACTTGTAAACTAAATATGTGGATGAGTCATGAATGTTCAATATTTTACAAATATTTGAGGATCCATAAACAAATGTTCTTTTATTCAAATTATAGGCGTAAGACATGATGCAAACATGAAGTATGAGTTACAATTAGCCAATCCAAAAGAATTTTATCATGAAATTCATAGACCTGCCCATTTCTTGAATTTCTCATCATTAGAAGATGGAGATGGAGTTGGTGCTGACCGTGAAGACGTGTATGCTTAATGTGTATTATAATTAATTGTTTAAGTTAGTTTTTATTTTATACTTGAAAAATCTTAATGTATTGTAAACTGTTTTAGATTTTATACTTACAATGATAAAAATTGTGTTTTTAAAATTATTAATAAAAGTATTGAGATTTTGAATTAAAATTGTATTGATTTATAATCGAAATATATTTTAAACAAAATTGCAACTTTCTTAAAAACATATCTACAACACAATTAAATTAAAAATATTTAAATGTATCAAAATTTCAAAATTTTATCAATATTATTTTTGTCAATAAAATCAAGTCGATATTCAATGTGGTTGGTTTTTATTATTTATAAGAATTTTAATATAC